ATCCTCAATAGTGTACATACGTAAATAGTCCAACTTGATTTGGTGGGACAGTTTGAAGATGAAAGTAGTTACCGTTTGTCCCCCGTATTTATTTCCCTCATTGCCCGTTAAATATTGGATCGGGCACTCCGTTAGCACAGTTGGTATAATGCTGGACTGCACAGCGGACGGCCCTGGTTCGATTCCCAAACTCGGCGTTCTTGAACTTAGGTCGTTGTGTGGAGTTTTTAGAGTTCTCAACCCTTTTGGCTCGGTCCTAACGGAGACGAACGTTAATTTTGGAGATCCCGCCTTTTGAATGATAAGGGCGTTTAACACATCAACTTACTTACAAATATTGGAGTAAGCACAAAGAAATATAATTTGTCTTCAAACTGTTCGTTCAAACTTCTTGTCACAGACTTGCTAGGGTACCGGATCCGTAATTGTGAGATTGCAAGTTAGGGGGTTCGAGTCTCAGCTCGGTCCGAGGTTGTGTTCTTGAGAAAGGTACTTAACACGAATGTCCCATTTTGCTTGGTCCTTTCGGAGTTGGACGTTAAACCAAGAGATCCCGTCTCTTAAATAACGTAAACGGATTGATAGGGGTGTTAAACTTGTACCATTCCACATGTTCACAGATATGCAAGAGTTGATGACCAGCTACAAGTTATTCCACGACACTCTCGACAGTTTTGCGAAACAGCTTCCCTCACATCTGACCTCCGATGCCCCTGAGGGTCTCGCAAATAACGTGGATGTCTTGACAAACATGTTGACCCCTACTGACCCACATTTCTTTGATGGAGAAGTAAAACTACTTCAGAAGAAGTTCAATTGGGTTCGGCAAGTCCTCAGGGCGGTGTTGTGCTTAAGCTTCCCCAAAGTGAAGAAGGAATCCCATAGCTGGTTCGTCGCCGAGCGAACAAAATTTCAGACACAAGTCGATATAATCAAACCGATTATGGAACGTTTAACGCTGAGTGGATCTGGCGTCATAAGTGAGTACCTGATTGAGTGTTTTTGAGTGTGTACTTGCATAGATGTATGTGTTGGCGTGTTTTATTGTATCTAGCTAGTTATCGTACATGCATAAATTCCCCTCTCTTTCTCTCTCTCTCTCTCTCTCTCTCTCTCTCTCTCTCTCTCTCT